CGTTAGGTCTGTCGACTGCAGGGAAGCATCAAAGGTGACCATGCAACTTGCGTGGTCAGAACCTTCTGACGTCAGAGTTTCCTCATCAGGCGCGAGAGGAATCTCCACATCAGATGTTATGTCATAATTTTTCCTCAGTTTTGAGATATTAACGCGGACGATGCGTGTTCCAAGATCCACACCTACCATGGATCCTCCGAGTTCGGAGATCACCTTTCCTTTTAGCCAAGATCCATGTTTGGACCCAGTTGATCCAATCTTAGACTTATCCTCTGACCAGTAGAAAACCTTATCTCCCAAAGAGAAAGGTCCTTCGGTCATTGACAGTCTGGCCGCAAGATCTCTGCGCAGATCATCAGATTGGCGTGCCTCTTGGTAAGCCCTGTTGGCAAGCTCCTTAATGGCTCTCGCAGTGACTTCCGTATCAGTTGGATTACCTGTCAACTGATTGGGATCAGCGTTCTCTGGTGTTATAACATCTCGAGGACGCCTACCAAAGGCCATTTCTAAAGGAGTAACTCCTCCATAGGTAATCGAAGAGTTTCTTGCCAAACATGCTTGTCGAACGAGGTTGCCATACTTCATGGTGATTCCGTTATACTGCGGGTCACCATCCTTCAGGATCTGAAGTATGATCTTAATCTGATGCTTCAGCAATCTTACAGCAGCTTCGGCCCTGTTGGGCCATGGTGTTCCAGGTCCTGTTGCTACAGGCTTGATATTCTGCCGATTGTAATAAGCCTCCATTTTTGGAGTCATGAATGCTTGATCTCCAACTACAACCTTTGGGTTGATCTGAAATTTCTCAAAATAGTCATTCATAATCGACATTGTAGTATGCTCTTCCTTATCCTGGACTACTTCGGAAGTCAACAGGTTTGTTGCTCCGTCATAGAGAATAAGAAATATCAAGCGACTATTTTTGCCGGGAATTGGAAGCTCACCGTGATCTACGAAGGTGAGATCACCGAAAGTCTCTGATCTTAAACCGGAAATCTTCGCTCTTGAAGGAGCTCTCACGTGTTCCTGACAGGCTGAACACTTTTTGACCAGTTGGTCATATAGCTCATATATCTCCTTTGGGATCTGTAAGGCTTTCGTGCGTCGCTTGAACTGATCCGTACTCATATGACGGTGCTTAAGGTGAAGCTTATAGAGTTCTACAGGGTCCTTAAGCTTCTCATGAATCCTGCGAAGAGCAATGGGAAGAGATGGCGATGGTTCTGCGACAATCTCTTCACCTGTAGGTGAGTCTGTACCAGGAGCCGGGTATTCTCTTGACTCAAGCGGCTTTACCTCCGTCCCGTCATCAGCTCCTGGGACCATAGACTTCTCCTCAACAGGAGGTTTGACCGCATATTTGCGGGTTTTCTTCAGAAGGTTTTTAAGACCCTTTGGAGTCTTTGTCTTCGCAGGTGGAACCTCAAGTCTTTCTTCTTCTGGAGGTTCGTGCGGTGCAGATGATTCTGCAGGTTTGTCTCTAGAGCCTGATGATGGTTCCGATGGTTCGGAAGGCTCAGGAGCATCACCAGATGGTTCTGGTGGATCAGGTTTCTTGGCAGATGATTCTGCCGGATCAGATGGAAGAGGCTTCTTCTTACCTGGAATGCCCTTCGGTGGTGGATCAGCTGCTCCTTCAGGTGCTTTGTCGCAACCTTTGAGGAACGTATGAGGCTTTTTCTGTCCTGCGCAGGCTGGACAGCGACCTTCCGGGATCTTAGTATAAGATCTTCTTTCTTCCTTTGGCTTCTTAGCTCCTAGAGCAGTCTCCGTCGCACTGAACGACGTACCTGACTTAGGGAGATACTTCCTGGTGGAAGTGAAGCCTAGAAGGTCCAATACCAAATGGTTATTGGTACTAATCGGAAGGGGGGTTTTGTACAAACCGAAAGCTTCACACGTTGCTAGGTCAGCTGTGGGACTACACTCGAGGGTCATTCTTAGATTCCTCATCTGTTCGATGGAGAACAAAATGGGAACTCTCCCCTGATCCAGAACCTCGATGGTTGTATCTCTTCTTGGAGTTGTGTTGAACCATAGAGTTACACGCTCCTTGATAAGAGCTGTTTCACTATCTGCGAAAGAGAACTTCGTGTTCGAAGGTGAGAAAGTGAAATCAATCATGCCTGGGGCACGTTGCTTCACGGCCTTGATAAGCCTGTTCACCGCATAGCGGGAACCCATAGCCCTAGTACAACCTGAGTCAAGTATGACAAAGGTAGGGTTCTTATCAAGATTGATCCGCTCTGTGAGAGCAGATAGGACGGTGTGCTGCAACGGAAACACCGCTGTTGCAGTTTCAACACCTTGCCCCTCGGATGGTTCAAAGACCTGGGGCACGTAACTCACTGATGAGTTGAACACGGGTTCTTGGTGCGCGCTCGGATCTGTGCCTCTACCTGATGATCCTGCTTGATTTCTTCTCTTCTTTCTCCGTGTTTTTCTTCGTGAGGCTTGTGATGCATAGTATGTATAAGACGTTTGATCGTCATAAGCGGCATAATTCCAACTGGAGTCAGTATAATAACTGTCCTCATACCATGAATCCCAGCTCGGTGCGGTGGAACTCTCATAGGCCTGTGGAGATCCAGTTTGGTCTCCTTGTAAGGAGGCAGACTTAGCTGTATCCTTACCTTTGCCTTTTGCCTTTGCGCCTTTGAAGGAGCTTCCTTTATCTCCTTTGTCCTTTCCTTTTCCTTTGCCTTTTCCACCTTTTCCTTTTTCCTTTCCTTTACCTTTACCGAAATAGCTGGAATCAGTTGGATCATGTTCTGCCTGGTTGGCTCTCCCTTTTCCGCGGTATGACCTAAAACGGCCACGTCCTTTTCGCTTGCCACCCTTTGCTCTTCCCGGTGATCCGGGACGCATTCTTGGTCTTCTTCCCTTTTTGAATCTCCTTGCAACGAAGGCCTCATGGTCATCAACTGTCCAGAAGACAGCTTCTTCATCCTCGGCGGCAAGAAAGCCTTCCTCAAGGGTGTCTTCGTCTTGGAGCCAGAATCCATCGACTCCATCGTATTCACCCTGATCGAGGATGAGGAAGTTTCGACCTCCGCGTTTACGGCGTTGGTCTCTCCTTCCATGGCGGTCCTTCTTGTGAGAAGAGTGCCGAATGTTGGGATCCTGCAGACCAGTTCTGGTCGTTGAGAACTGATCGAACATGGTCTGCCGTACCACAGGGTACGTGTAGGTCTCAATTCGGTGACCTTGGTTGGTCAATGCTGTTACCAACCTCTCACGTTGCATCTCATTTAGGTCGGACTGCACTAGGAAGAGGAGAGCTAGGAGATTATCGTTCAGAGGAAACGCTCTTCGATGATTGTCAAGGCGTTCCTTGTTCCATGTTTCGAAATAGCGTGCGGCATATGTGTCTCTCTCGGCTGCATCCTGCATGCGCAAGAAGGTTTGGTCTGCCTGCACAGCTTGCATGAAATCTGGATGGGCATCCTCCAGAGCTATCTCTGGTAAGAGATCCATCCATGAGTTTTTCACGCGCTGTAGCACGATCTCAAACTTGGCAATCCAAGTCACAAAGTCTTGGTTGCCCTTCCATGCCTTGAATAGGCCGAGGAAACGCCACAGGAAAACGTACTGTTCTCCTTTCACGAAAAATGGACGCATCTTCTTCTTGAAGTAATCTACTCCATCTGGGGCTGCAAGCCTTTCTCGGTTCAGTGATTCCTTTTGTACTGCGGCCAATCCGGAGAGCCTCGTCTTGAGAGACGGACCTCTTTTGGTGTCATCCAGCGTTGTTATGTCGCACCAGTCGTCAATCAACTGTTCATACTCAAACCACGAGGTGGTGCCATCATAGGCAGGCGCGATCTTGGGCGTTATGCCTAATGATGCAAGCATGCGGTCAGATGTTGCATATGACTGTGCGACATAAGTGGCTGGACCTTGGGAGGTCTCTTCGTTCTCATATCCCCCGGAGGATTGGGAACTGTCGTCGGCTTCGCTATGCGAGCTCGACATTGTGCTGCCTCTTATCCGCTTGGTTAAGCGTTCGGCGAGGCCGACCGCTGTAGCGGACTTTGGGAGGCGGGCGGCCCTTTCCGGGCTCCGCTACCAGAAAACTGAGCCGATACACCCACAAGGAAATGCTCCTTGTTAGGAGGTGTATGACCAGTTTATTCCCTAAGGATCAAAGGGCAGCGCCCTGCACACGGACAGTAGTTGTTTTGTCTTGCTACGCAAGGAGAGCTTGTCTTGTCTCAATATGGTAAAACCACTGTGAGCCAATGGGCAGCGGAATGTATATGTATGAGCATGCAGCCATTGCTGTAGGTACCTGTTAGAGCTACCCCTTTAGAGGTTTACGCAAACAGGGGGAGGGGGGGGGAGGGGCACCTTATCAGTGGAAAACGCACAATGACAAGGTGAAGGGGGGGAGGGGGCCCCTCCCCCCCCCCCTACCCCCCACCTTAACTCTTCGACGTCCCACCTGATAAGGTGCAAACCCTGTTTTTTCCTAGTGCCTTAATACAAGTGAATTGCTAAAGGGCAACTCCCGCGAGCTCCACAGAGCTAGCTTTCGTGATATATATATATATATATATATATATGCGTATAGACGTACAGTCATATTATGGACATATACACATATTTACATATTTATTCGCAGATACATAAAACGCATATACACATATGCAGAAAGAACAAATATGCGTGTACACACACCTGACCACGAACACATGCATACACATATGCACAAGCATGTACATATGTATATAATACACATATTTATGTATGCATGTATATAAATATATACATACATATGTATGTGTATATACAAGTACAGAATAGTATATGTTATGTATAACACGCACTATTACATTCAATCTCATGTGTACACAAACAAACACATATTTGTATGTGTGTTGAACCCCTCCGCAATGCAAAAGACGTGGACCTTTGAATAAACAGAACTCCGAAAAAACCTTGAAGCTTGAACTGCTCAAGCCCCAAACCCCAACGGTGGACTTGAGACTTGAGAGGGCCTGTCGAAGTCCATGGTCACTCCAGGCAAGATCCCTCCGGTGACCTCCCAACCTCTGGTCCAAAGAAAAGCTTCTGCTTCAGGGGCGGCCATTGACAAGAAACCGTATCAATGCAGGTCCGAAAAGCCGCTCCTTAGCTCTCCTCTCCTCTCCGTTTAGATCCCTACGTGCGTCCAGGAACACACGCACACACACACACACACACACGTGCGTGCGTTGGTGCAGGCATATGCAACAGGGCTGGATACACTTTGCTCTTACACGTTCCTGTTATACACTGCGAAATGGTGCCAAGACAACTTATAGTTTAGAGCTGGGACACGACTCTGTGTGTGTGTGTGTGCGCGTTTGTACATGCACATTCGTGGCGTCTGGTGACTGGCGTATACATACACAGAAATCTCCCTGTGCGTGGATGTACTTGTATATGCGCAGGCGCACACACACACATCATCTGTGCACGAATCGTGTCATATTGCACAAGGTGTTAAACATGAAAACCACACACAGCGAGCCCGATCGTAAACCGAAGGTGTTTGATGGTCTTTGCTGCTCTACAGCACCGCGCACATCAAGCGCTGTGCATGAAAGACAGTTCAAACATACACTTCAGCACGCAATAATTTGCGTGTTGAGTGTATCTTTGACCGGCACCTTCAGTGTCACCACGTCGATCAAACAGGAAACTACACAAAGCCAGGGCCGAATCCGTGGCAGCTCCAGCTCTCGTCAGGGTGCGACTGAAGCAGCTGAGGCCGTGACGCACGCAGTCCAAGAACTGCGAGACACCCCAGAAGCAGAAGGTGTAAACCTTGGTGACTGGGTTCTCCACCAAAGTATACCGGTGCTTAGACCCAACATATAATGGCAGAAGTGACCCGTAACGAATATGTATATCATGAATGTTTCCTTGGAGTTGCTCTACTGAGAAGCAAGAACCGGCTGATCTAGTGATGTAGCCTCAGTCTTGCTGGAGAGCAAGTACTACGGTAGATGATCTAAATCCTGCATTACCCATAATAAGGAATATGGAATATACCATAATTCCCATAGTGTAGGGTCCTTAAGGTAATGCAGGATTTCTATCATCTACCGTATCGCTTCTGCCTCTGAACTGACGAGCACCCGACACGCTCGGTCGACAGCTCTGCCAATGCCTCCAAGACAACTTTAGGGTTTAGGGTTTAGGGTTTAGGGTTTAGGGACACTTCGGCGGCTTGGCGGCGAGTTTCTGTAGCGAGCCGAGGGTCCAAACAGACGGAGTTCAGGCAGCAGGCAAGACTTTGATGAACCACCTCTAAACCCTAAGCCCTGAACCGATCGAGCCTTCTTCAGGGATGACACGTAAGCTGCAGCACCATCATTGCGACCTCGGCTCCAGAAACGGACGATCGACCGCACATCTCAGTCAGTAGCTGCCTTGCGCTTATCGCGAATACAGCGCTAAGCAGCGATGCGAAACGACGGATGCCAACACACCAGCTGAATCCCTAAACCCTAAACCCTAAACTGAATCCTGAAAGGCAAACAAATGCTGACAAAGTCCGGAAATGTCGCAGAGACGCTCCCAAGCTGAGGAGCGGTCCCTTTGGCACCGGTTTTCTCGGCATTCTCGCTCACGCTTTGAATAGACTTTGATTGTTTTGTTCGGGGTAGGGGTAAAGAATGACTGCATCAAGGAACCGTAAGGAACACTAGTGGCACTCATTCAACCCGCAACCCAACCCTAAACCCTAAACATCCCTAAACCCTAAACCCTAAGCCCTAAACCCCAAAGTCCCTGCAAGGAACCTTTTCGGCCCTTTCCCTGGTTCTGGGCCCCTGGCGCATACCTACGCCATCGAGGTTGCCTGCAAGGTCGGGCTCCGCGCCGGGAGTCGACACCTCTAGGCTTTTTTTCAAGAAAATGATGGAAAAATATGAAATTTTAGGAGCTTGCAGAGAAAGGGTTTAGGGTCTCGGAGTTTCAGTTCAAGGTTTTGTGTCTGTTTTGGGAGTTAAAGTCTCGCCTTCAGGATCAACATGATGTGAAAGGCCCTATGTGAATGTGGCAAAGTGCTGAGAACACGTGGCGTTGACGCCTCGGATGATGAAGACGAAGTAGAGCATGATGAACGTGGCTGAGGATGAGGATCAGGATGATGGTGACGATGCTGATGACGAGTATTATGATGGCAATGACGATGATGATGGCGATGATGATCACAAGGATGATGATGATGGTGATGATGATGATGATAGTGATGATGATAGTGATGATATGTGATGACCACGATAATGACCATGATGATGATGACGACAATGATGCTGATGATGATGGTGGTGATGATGAGGACGATGACAATGATGCTGATGATGATGATGCCAAAGATGATGACAATCATGATGCTGTCATGGTCTTCGATGCTGCTCTTGATGATCATGAGTATGTGACGAAGATGATGAACACGCTCACCGAAGCGTCTTCATCCCAGTTCCACTCTCTGCATAGTTCTGGTCTCCTGGATGATCATGATCATCGCGGCAGTGACCATTGACAACAACATCATCGCCGTCATCATCAACAACATCCCCGATATCGTCATCGTTCGTCACCATCAGCACCATCATTATCGTCACCATCAGCCTCACTATCCTACCGTCAGCCGCAATCATTCTGACATCCCTGCAGCATCTTACTAATACTGGCTCTGAAGCCTGTCGCAGTGCTGCCAGTACCACGAGTGCTGGTATTGGAACGCAACTTGCTGTCGACGATGCTGTGCTGGTGCCGGTTCCTCTTGCTGTTGCTGTGTTTGTTGGTCGTGGCGGTGGCGCTGCTGTTGTTCTTCTTGTTATTGATACGGTTGCTTTCTTCGTGATTCATATCATTGGTGCTGTTGTTACGGAATCGGCTTGTAATTAAGTATGATTCTGGCCGGTCCGGGTGCTAGCGAAGTGCCAGTGAAGCGCCGGTGCCGGTGCTGGTGGTGCTGGGTGTGAGTGCAGGCTGGTGCTGCCGATGCGATGTGCGGGTGAGCGTCTTGCACAGGCTAGGATGCAAGCGCAGGGGGTTGGAGTGGTGCTTTTGCTTTTGCTTCTGCTGCTGCCGTGTTGCTGCTCACAACGGCCGACTATGTCCCGAAAGAGGCGAGCATAGAAGACATCGCCGCTCTGCACGAGAATATGCATGTAGCCGCCGAGCCTCAAACTGGTCGAAGGCCCACCTGAGCAAAGGTCAACAACCTAGACTTCATGCACACATGAATGTATAGATACCTGAATTCATACACAAACATGCATACCTACCTGCGTGCAGACACTCATACCTACATACGCACATGCATGCGCTCTGCATACAGACAGACAAACGAACGCAAAAAGCTCTCTTTATGGCAGGGCACAGGGGCATCGCAAAGGTCGGGGGCTCGGCCTCCCGCAGAGCAGGAACAGGGATCAAAGGGTTTTAGAGTTCAGGAATTGGGCCCTTTGGGGTTTAGGGGTTTAAGGCTTTTTGGGGTTTCAGGGCTTTTAGGGGCGTAGGGGGTTTACGGGGTTTAGGGGTTCGATCTTAAAGTGGCCGATACCCCGACATTGGGATCCAAGCAGGGTTTCGAGACGTGTAGGATGCAATGTGTAACTGGTAAACGAGAGACCTCAGCCAGTCCCACTGCCCCCGTAGCCAAGTTGAAAAAAAATCACAACATTACATGAAGGGGCCGCGGATCCTTCAAGGGTCCTTGCAAGGGTTCTATAAGCGATTTATATAATAAGGTACCGTAAGGGCTCCAAAATGCAGGGGCCTTCTTTGTTAGACTAAGGTATTGCGGCCCATGATGCAATCATTATATTCGGGGCTACGAGGGTATATGATTACTGCCTATTCCGACCTTTATTCAGCGAAGGCACCCCCCCAATTGCGAATCATTCTTACCAATGCTTGACCGGATGTGCAAAGGATGCATCCCCACAAGAACCAAGAGTGGGGTCGTCGCACGGACCTAAACACACACACACACACACACAGAACCCCTGAAGCCGCGAAGCGCTGCATCCTCAAGCAACCCCGCTGTTGCTACCGTTTCGCTTCTGATCGAAGTCAAAGCTCCCACCTCTCGTCTAGCCAGCAGAGTGCTGGGGTCATCCCCTTGGACAGGAATCCCGAGGCTGGTAAATCTCTGCCGGCAGTCGCTGTTGTTTTTGCTCCATGATGTTCTCTGTTTGGCATGCTAACGACGATGTCGGGCATGCTTCATAACCAGCATCATGTCACTATCATACTGAAAGTTGATGTGAAACTCTACCAGACATGGGTGTCTGAGCGCGTCAGCGTGGCTTCAGTCGCGCATGAGAAAGGCTCGAGTGTGCAGGTTGCGAAGGTTTAGGTTTCAGGTCACCCCCAGAAGCTCTGTGGTCTTGTCTGTATCTCTTTCCTTCTCTCCGAGTTCTCGTTGAGGAGTTTGAGTTAAGTTACCATAGTACGGAAACCATACTGTTTAATTTACTACAGATCCCCATGATGGTCTGATGGTAACTTAATTTAAATCCATTACCAGGAACCCAGTTCTGCTTCATTCGAGCTCTGGATGAGCCCCTGACCATTTGAGTGGTAGCAGTCTGCAACGGCTTGGCAAGCGCTGACCAATGCCTGGCAGAATGCTTGTAACTGCATCATTGTGGCAACCTGCTTGAAATGGCCTTCTGCGCTTGGCGTGTCATGCCAGAGATCTCGACGAAGCGGCTGAGCTCCAATGCGAAGAAAAGCGGCTCCTGCCCAGTTGGGAAAGGACTTTCTCAACATATAGCGAAATCGATGAAGCCTGCAAACATGCTGGGCTGCAAGAATTCCCTTAAGGACTCTCATTCGGATCGGAACAAGCATACAAAGGGCCGCTCCTTGGGTATCTCTTTGAAGCGCATTTGTAGCCTCCAAACAGGCTTTCTGGCTGACAAACTCAGGTGAAGAGTTTAGAGTTTAAGGCTTAGGGTTACGCTTTAGAGCATGCTTTGAAGGCTTGCGCTCGTTTATGAAGTGTTTAGGGCTTAGGTCTTAGAGTGTGTTTCATGGCGTGGTTTACGACGCGCTTCGACGTGCTTCGGATATACTTTAGTGTACAGCCCTAAACCCTTAAACCATGCACCCCAAACCCTAAACCCCAATCCTAAACCCCCTACACCTACACCCTAAACCTTAAACCCCAAACCCTTAACCCTACACCCTAAACCCTAAACCCCACACCCTACAGCAGTGTAGGGCTCGGGGTGTCGCTGCCTCAGCTCCCACAGCCGCTTTCGGCCCCCCAGGTGCCAGCTGAAGGGGTAATCACCGGCCTGAGAGCAAATTGCTGGGGGTCCTTTAAAGGGATCTATAGCCTATAAGCGATCCTTTTTTGGGATCTATCAGGGGCTCCTTTATTGGGATAAGGGGTTCCCTTTGTGGGATCTATAAGCGGTTCCTTTTGTGGGATCTATAGGGGTTTGTAGGATTCTTTTAAAGGGATCAAAAGGGTTTTGTAGGGTTCCAGGAAAGGGATCTAGAGGGGTGACTTTGAACGCAAGTATATGTGGGCCCTATATGGGGTTTCTACAGGGCTCTTATCGCTCTTCAAGGTTTTAGAGGTCTTCTGTAGGATTCTATAGCGGCTTTGCTGATGAGACCAGGGTCTGAGTACATGTTAAGCGGGAACACAATATTGCTTGTTCCCGACCTGTTTATCGAGGCGCAACATTGCAGAGCCTGCCACATGACACAAGGTTCTTTGCTCTCGCCTTCATCCGATCCGGATCGTGCGTCGGGCGATGCATCGCCAGAAGTTTTACCTCCGTAGCGAGGGTGAGGGGGACAAGACAATAGCCACGAGCATCTTCGCAGAAGAAAAGGCAGGGCAGGGCACTTCAACCATCTTCAACCCAGCGAATCCAAACTTCTGTATACAAATTCATTCGGACCTGATCCGCCGAGCTTTTGCTGTGAGTTCACCCCCGGCAAGCCTGGCAAAGATCGTTCTCCCAGCTGCTGGGGCGCAGCTCGCTTTGCTTCCCATCCGGCTCCTCAAACCTGACCAATTTCGTCTCAGCGAATAGGGTTTAAGGCGTTTAGAGTCTAGATTGTAGGGATGTTTAGGGTTTAGGGCAAGTTTAGGGAGCATCATGAGCTTCATGCAGCCCTCTTCATGGACAGTTGCATATATTGAAAGGCCACGTCTATGTGGGTAAGCGGCCTCCACTGCAAAGGATCTTCGGACTCCGCCAACGCAGGCATGGCTCGCACGCACTGTGCGTAGATTTGCAACTCAGCTGTCGCCTCCAACAAAGTTCCTGCTGATCCGGGCTGTTAGAAGGAGCCGGAAGGCCCTTCGGTTGCTGGGAATCTCAAGATGGAATGCAATTGCACCAGACATCAAACCGACACGGCTGTGCTGCTGCGGGAGCAGACGCGCAAAAAAACATCTGCTTGGCGAGACATGATGAGGGTCCAAATCGGACAGTGAATCAACTGCCCGACAAGACTGTGGCTCAAGCAGACTCGGGTTCCCCACGCGCGAGCAGGCACCAATGGTCGCGTTCACAGCGGTCACATCCGGGTGAGGGCCGCGAGCTCGCATCTCCTAAACCGGAGAGATAGAGCGAAGAGCTGGACGTCCAACTTCCAACGTACGAACCACCATACATCAAGTCAACTTAAGTGCATCTCGGCCTGTAGAAGATCGGTGGCATTCTGCCACTGCGTGGCCTCAGTCTGTGAACCCCCGGTATGCGGAAGCGCAAAAAACCAAAGGATGTACTACTACTACTACTACTGCTACTACTACTACTACTAGCACTAGTAGCACTAGTAGCACTAGTAGCACTAGTAGCACTAGTAGCACTAGTACCACTAGTAGCACTAGTAGCACTAGTAGCGCTAGTACTAGTAGTACTACTAATAGTAGTACTAGTAGTAGTAGTAGTAGTAGTAGTAGTAGTAGTAGTAGTAGTAGTAGGAGTAGGAGTAGTAGTAGTAGTAGTAGTAGTAGTAGTAGTAGTAGTAGTAGTAAGCAGTAGTAGTAGTAGTAGTAGTAGTAGTAGTAGTAGTAGTAGTAGTAGAAGCAGTAGTAGTAGTAGTAGTAGTAGTAGTAGTAGTAGCAACAGCAGCAGCAGTAGGTATAGTAGTGGTAGTAGTAGTAGATGTCGTAGTAGTAGTCGTAGTAATAGCAGTAGTAGTGGTAGTAGTTGTTGTTGTTGTAGTAGTAGTAGTACTGGTACTACGTGGGATACTAGTAGCGGTAGTAGTAGTAGTAGTAGTACTAGTACTAGGTGGTAGTGGTAGTGGTAGTGGTAGTGGTAGTGGTAGTGGTAGTGGTAGTGGTAGTGGTAGCGGTGGTGGCAGTGGTGGTAGCGGTAGTGGTAGCGGTAGTGGTAGCGGTAGTGGTAGCGGTAGTGGTAGCGGTAGTGGTATTGGTAGTCGTCGTCGTGGTGGTAGTAGTAGTAGTAGGAGTAGTAGTAGTGGTAGTAGTAGTAGTAGTAGTAGTAGTAGTAGTAGTAGTACAAGTACTACTACTACTACTACTACTACTACTACTACTACTACTACTACTACTACTACTTCTACTACTACTACTACTACTACTACTACTACTACTACTACTGCGACCATGCCGATTGCAAGTTCTGTTGTTGCGTGTCACCGTCCTCGCCCGGCACCAATCTTGTCCTCGTCCTCTCCCTCGTTCTCGTCGTCTCCGTCATCTCTGTCCCCGACTGCTCCTAAACCCTAAACCCGAAGCTGTGCTTTGTCGGTTGCATTCACTGAAGCCTGCCAAGTTGAGGACCCGACACCGGCGAGGGCTCGGAGTGCCGAGACACACCGCGCGAGACCTTACATGTACCAAGACTGAGTCGGCAACAAACCGGAAGCAGCCATCATCAGCATGATAATCATCACCATGATCAGAATGCCGTAGGATAGCAAGCTTCTTCTTCAACTTCGGCTGTATCATCGTCATCGCCATCATCACCATTCCTCATGGCCGTGCCGTCACCACCATCATCACAGCACCATCAGCAGACTAGCGACACCATACCATCGCTACCACTATCATCATCACCACCATCGCCGTCATCACCCAATTACAATCACGGGCAGACAAGAATCTCGTCTGGGCTCGGCGAGAACGAGATCACAAGACAGCATGGTCCTGGTCATGGTCGGGACATAGGGATAGCTTCCAAACTGACCGACAGTAGATTCTCGCAATTGATGGGGGGATTGGAGGCTTCCAGCTGCTGTACCTGCGACCGTAGCCATGATAGCCACCACTATAGCAACAAGTATAGCAACCATTGCAGTTAGCCATTATACTCATCCACCAGAATAACCTTTGGACAAACCCTTTTGAGAAGCAACAGATCTCTGAGCTCTCAGCTAGGCAGTGGTTGCCCAGAGCTTCCCAGCGAATCTGAACGACACGGTTTCAGGTTTATGCTTGGGTTGAGGCTGTAGGATCTAGGCTTTCTCAGTGCAAGCGCAAGAGTGCGTGAAATTCTTGTGAACTGCTCGGGCATAACACGCATCTGTCTGTGCAAATACACATCAACCTAGATGGGACGCTGATTCGGGGAATCACACATTAGTACCAAGAACACATCTTAACTCCAGTGAGTGAAGGTGCCAAAGTTCGTTGCCACCCAAGCGTCAAAACTAACAACAAGCCACGTCGTTCGCTCAGACACGTGGCAGTGGGCTTTGAAGGTGATGTTATATTGTGCTGTAATATACCATGTTATATCGTAATATATCATATTATGTAACAATAACTGATAATACATCGTACAAGAAGGCTGGATGCTCGCTGAGGTTTACTTGGAAACCACGCAAAGTTCTTTCATCATCAAAGGCCTTGGCGAGCGGACACGTTCGAAGCCAAGGCTGCAATCAAGAAGTAGAGGGTCTAAGTCTAACAAGGACGGTTTAGGCTTCTGGGTTGTAGGTTTTGGGGCTCTGAAAAGTATTTATGAATAGGCACCTCTATAGGAACCATAAGGGAAATTAAAAAGTCTCCCAAATTGCCACCTAGGTTTTTTCGGCCTTACCAGTTTGACTAGGGCTCCTTTCCAAGCTGTGAAGGTACTAAAGGGGTTTGGGATCGGGGCCTTCATAACTGGGAAGGGGTTTTGCGGTATGTTCGAGTATACTCATACGGACTATAAGGGGAGGCTATCAGTAAGTATTCCGACTCCTAGCAGTGTATTCCTGCACAGGCAGGCTCTCTTCAGGCAAACCAGGACGCCACTTGCTCAGTTACAGCCTGCTGTCTCGCCCCGAAGCCGTGAGAAACAGCGCAAGGCATGGCCACCTGTCCGGGTGAGCAAAATATCAACATAGAAAAAACAGTCCTAGCAAATACTAGTAATAATCGTAGAAATTTCTGGTAACGGAAATATGTCAAGATGATGAGTATGATGAATCACAGCGAGTGCTCTACTCCCAGAAAACATCCGAACAGCAAGGAAAAGCTCATTGGATGCATGCATCATTATGGTGATAGAAAGAACCCAGAGTGAGGTATCCCTACACCGCAAGGCCCTGAACCCTGAACCCTAAACCTATGCTCGATGCTGCACTGAACGATACTGCAGGCCTGCAGCTGGACGCGCCGAAGGCAGTAGCCCATGAGTCAGCAGAGCGCACATGCCGATATCAGCAGCATGTGGGTGGAGATTCGTTTGAAATTGTGTGTTGATCTCATGAAATACTAAGGCAGCCCATGGCACTGTGTGCAGCTTTGTGTTTTCATGGCGACTAATTGGGAGTTTCCGTTTATTAGGGGTACCTTATTTTGGGGTTCTTATAATAAGGATCCTACGATTTAGGGTATTATATTAGGGTGCCCCTATTTGAAGCTCCCAATTGGATGGACCCATGACGAGACATTATGAAGTGAGGCTGCCGGAGCTTCGCTTCCGAAGGCTCCTGGCATGTGGGCTTCGGATTGTTCCGGAGACCCTAAACCTTGAACCCTAAACCCTAAAACCTAAACCCTAAACCGTAGGGGCCTTGAGCTACCGACTACTGAGGCTGTCGAAGGCTTGAGGGCCACCAAAGGCTTGCCAAGGAATCCACTCCTGACATGCGTGAGGACCGCGGAAGCCACATCCTGCGCAGCTGACTGAAGAAGACATTTAAAGACGGCTGCTGATCTGCTTGAAGGCTTGTCGAGGATTGCATGCATGAGTTTTGCGTATCTGCGGCAAGCTCCTGCACCAAATCATGTCGTCTCTCTGCAGAGGTGCGCGCAACACACCCCTTGCTAAACCCGGTCGGTGGTGCCGAGAGCTGCGAGCGAAGCCGGGCAGCCGGGCCTACGGCGCTACGGCCTACGGTCGCGGACGCCACGAGCTCCCAAGAAAAAGTCTGAGCTCTGTCAGGGGCTCCTTAGAAGCCCTCTGGCAAGTCCCAAGCGCAGAACCGCACTTCCGGCAGCGGCGCTAAAACACCGGACTCTCACGAGACCGGCTCGAATTGCCATGCTTCAGCCGTAGCGGCTGTAGATTTCTGTCAAGGAGGCCTGTGCCAAGGAATGCCACTCGGAATTACAGTCGCGCTTGAAAGCAGAAGATCCCCTAAGCGGCCTTGACTAGCAATGGGAAGGTGGTAGCACTCCTCTCCAGATCCTGCACTTGCACAGTTGTGTTCCCAGCAAGTTTGCATGCGCAAAGCAAGCTGCAGTTCATCAAGAAGGTTGGAACAATTTTCGACTGCAACAGGCCTCCAGGTAAAGCACGACCTGGGCATCGCCGTGTCACACCCTGGATCCCTCCGTGCATGTGAATCCGACACTCTCTCCTTCTCCGGTATGCTATGCTGTCCAGTTGCAGCTTTCTCGAAGATAGGTTTCACCCGATGGTGGGCCAAGAACTCCTTCACCACCTCAGCTGCGCAAAGTCGGCAACGGAAAGGTCCAAAGATGTTCCCAAAGGGCCCGGACCGAGTTGTAATCGGAGCTCGTCTGCCAAGGCGAGACCGTGAGCGTAGCGCGGCCTCAAGAGAGCTTCACAGCAGCACGGCTCCCCGAAACTTGCTCCTGTTACGCCCAGCCATGCATTTGCCAACTGGATTGAGGAAGGCACCACTGCTGGCAGGACCTGAAGCAGCGCCGGGAGAATTCGAATGGCTGCTCGGCCGCAGTCCATCGGTCTTCAAGCTAAGCACACCCGTCACTTACCCGAGCTCGCATGACTCGCATCCTCAAAGCCTTCTGCTACCTCTTGTCCTGCACCAGGTCCCCTATTTTCGGAAACTCCGATAAAGAGAGCCCAATAACATAACCCTTAATGGAGCAATATGGCTTAAATCCGAGGAATGCTTGCCAAGCCGCCGAGGTCAATCTCCGCAGCGATGAGCACCGACGGCACCAGGGGCGTGGCTTCACAGAAGCTGGGCGCTGCGCCTTCTTGCACTCAGCTTGGAGCTCCGGGAGCTTCGGAGTAGTTTCGAGCGGTTCGTTGGCTTCCCCAGGGCTTGGAGGTTGGGCTTCGGAGCCCCTTAAGGGTTTAGGGTTTAGGATTTAGGGTTAGGGTTTAGGGTTTAGGGAATTCTCACAGAAGAACTCGACCTCGCCTGCCCCGTCAACACCGGGCTCTGGCGTGCTGCGCCCTGCGCAGCTGCACGGAAGTGGAAGTGGAGAGGGCCTTCCCCTGCTTCCCTCTTACCTTTGCTTCGTAGGGAATGGAAGACTGGTAGTAATAGTAGTTGTAATTCTACCCCATTCCTCCATTCCCTACTAACCAAAGGTAAGCCTTGGGCTTTAACAAGCCGCGAGCCTCGATCCTCCAGTGTAAATGCAGGGCTTGACCAGCCGTCCTGCCGCAAGTTTTGGGATTAGGGTTTTTTTCTTTGAGGGCCCTTTTCCTCCCTGCTACAGTCGGAATACCTAGTAGGTGGGATTAGGGTGTAGGGTATAGGGTTTTAGGGAGGACTCGCCATGACCACAGGACAACGGCGGGAAGATGCGGGAAGCTGGGAGCTGCTAGTCTCTCCACAGACCTGGGTGTCGTCCCTCTCAGCCCCTTCCAGGAAGCTGAAATTCGGATTTCTTCCAAGAGCCCCCGACTCAAGCCGAAAAGCCTTCCCCACCCGGCCTGAGACTTCGAGGCGAGCTGTACGAGCCCCTGAGGGGATTCGGGGCCTTCGGGCCTAGAGGCCGTGGGGTTTGGGGTTTTGTTGGTGTTAGGGTTGCCGGCTTCGGTGCGATTGGGGCTTTGGGGCGTCGGGGTATGTCGGGGTGGAGCGATATCATCTCGTGCGGGAGGCAGAGATTGAGGCTGCAGGGCGGTAGTGGTCAGGAGTTGGGGCTTGTCAAGCTGCTCTTCTCAACTGTTGCGACAGCACCCTACGGTCTGTTTGGCCAGGCACTCCGAGCTTGACATGTTAGGAGAGCCATTCCGCACTTCAGGGCTTCAACTTTCGAGAGCCAGAGGCATCCGAGCCTGCCGGAATCTCAAGCTTTCATCTTGTCCAGAATCCCAAAAGCCTTCAGCGCTGAGACCCGCACCTGGATCTCGTCTTCTAGCTGGGTTTGCCTTCGCACCGCAGCCGCCTCCTGGACAACACAACCAGAGAGACAGAAGGTGTCCCGCTGCCTTCTTCTGGGCTACGAGTTGAGTTGGTGGTTTAGGCTCTGGAATTTAAGTTGCGGGGAGAGCGCGGAAACTTGAACCGGAACAGCTTGGTGTGCTTAGCCGCAGTTTATCCCAGGTCTTCTTCTGTAGAAAAGGTACGCATTTGTTTACTAACAGATCATAGCAAATCACGGGCGTTTGCGAAAGCGCGAAAAGAAAAAAGAGATATGCTATGCTACCAGTGCCAGGAAGAGGGGTTGCTGGACTTTTGGTCCGTGTTTGTTTGGGTGATTTTTGGCTTCCGGTAGGATCGATCAGACGAAGACATGACAGCGGTCTCCTCGAGACTCATGGCACCCGTGTTCTTCGACGAACGAAAGAGACGTGGCAGTACGTAGTGCCATGCGGCTGCTCCGGATGCTCTCGCTGAAAATACCCAACAGTTCATGAGCCCGCACCCAGACGGCGACTAACGATGATGGGGCCGCAGAGAGACAGAAAAAGGAAAGAGAGTGAAACAGACAGAGATACTGCAAGTATCATTTTCTGCAATTATGTGCATATATGTAAATAAATGTAACCAGCCATCCATACACACAATAGACATAGATATAGACATACACGCATACACATACACACATGCAGATACACACATGCACACATACACACATTCATACATACGCACACATGCATACAATCTATATCCTCATAAACACAGATATAAACATATATAAATCTCTCCAGAAACTCCCAAACACAGATTAAGAAAATGTGGAATGATGTGCGGGGGGAACGGACGGACAGACAGGCGGACGGAGATACAGACAGGACGCGACACTGCGCACAACTGCCAAGAAGCTGGGCCAGCAGAACATCAGCCACTGCCAACAAAGCCACGACAACGACAACAGCGACAATGAAAAAAATAAAGAAGCACCAGCCGCAACAGCAACAGCAGCACCATAGGAGAATTTTCTGAAACTGCTAGCATTCCGAATCATTCCCTGACGTCCTGCTCGTGAAGCCTTTCACGCAAGGACTCCATCTCAGTGTTCACCTCAGGCCGAATCGGGAGTTCAGCCAGCTCTGCTGTTGCATCTCAAATATTTATAGTGCTTACTATAGGGTTTGCTGGTGGGTTAAGGGCAGGGTTGTCATAGGGTTGCTATACAGGTTACTACGGGGTTTCTACGTATACGGACTACTTCAAACACATATTTTCAATGACTGAAGATGCCCTCCACAAATCCTCGAAGTCTCTCCCGACCTGCAGCAGCTGCGCTGCCAGGGAAGCATTCTCATCCTGGAGCCTGGCATGAGCGGAACCCTGGTGCCGCTTAAGTTTGGGGTTCAGGCTCACGGTCAACGAGGTTTTCAGTGTTTAGGGTTTAGGGGTTAGGAGATGGTTAAGAGTTTCAGGGTCTAGGGTTTAGGGGCTAGATTTCCTGCGCAGGCACACTACAAATCAGATGCCTGCCTTCTTGGGCTTATGGGCACAAGCCACAACCAAAAGAGCCATTAAAACGACCAGAGCGGCAGGGCTCACAACGCGACAGCTGAACAAGAGCCAAGCGCAAGCCAAACACTACGAAGTGATTCCGTCTGGTTGTCAACCTCTGCTCATGACTAATCAGCATTCGGATGACAAGACAAACATGCATCCAAAAATCCCAAACCCTAATCCCAAACGCACGAAAGCTAAACCCTAAACCCTGAATTCCGAAAGCATAGCATGGTATAACGCTAGCAGCTAGCAGTCTTGGAACTCAGCCTGCTCACGGCGGACTGGGCTGTAGACTTTGCGGCCTGACACGTGCCGTCGACATGAGGCTTCTTCTCGGGGAGTTGGGGCTCAGGGCCTCGGGTTGATGAGCACATTAACCTGGACGATCCCTGTAAACCCCTACAAACCCCTGAACATCTCAGTCACCTATTTCGGCTCCGGGAGAAGTTGGAGAGTGTGGCCCCGCCTGACAGTGCTCGAGCTCTTGTGACAGCTGTCGGACCTGGCGCTTCATGGGACTTAGTAAGTAGGGTTATAAGTACCTCAATTTGGGTTATAAGTAATTATAACTGTAGTTACCTTACTTATAACCCTGTACTTACTAAGTCCCATGATCCTTTAAGTACTCTTCTGGCCCTCCACATGAACAGGGACTTGCGAAAAGGAGACCCCAGTCTGATTCGACTGATACGCAGTCTGCGGGCAGCTCACCTGTCCCTGGAGCGCTGTCGATGCAGCACTCATCTGCTGGCGCAGCTCCTAGCAGGGTTTAGGAGTTCAGGGTTTAGGGGTTCAGGGACTTAAGGGTTTAGGGATTTAGGGGCTAAGGATTTAAGGGTTCAGGGTTAGGGCCGTTTAGGGGTTAGGGTTTCGGAACCTTCAAAGAGACTCCAAACCACAAAGCCCTGAAGTTTGGGTCCCAAACGGTGTCGACCATGAGCTGGAAGGTTTGTTCGTGGCTCCGGGTTACACCAAAGCCGCAGAAGCAGCTGCCGAGCTATCTGCAACTGCTACTCTTTCATTGCGGACCATGCTCACAAAAACGTGAAACTCCAAACCCTAAGCCCTCAACCTTCAACCCTAAACTCGACCAAACCATAAACCTGACACCCTGAGCCCCGGAAGCTAAACTCGCCAAACCCTGGGGTCAGTAAGGGTACTAAAGGGTTCGATATTAGGGTCCCTTTTAAGGAACCCTTAAAGGAATCCTTCAAGGAACCCTCAAAGGAGCCCATAAAGGAGCCCATACGGGCCCTCGATCCCTTGGGATGATATAGATAGTATAGAACCCCATAGTACCCTCTAAGGGGGACCCTCAAATAGAACACCCCTCGAGGGCTCTTATAGTAAAGATCCCTTGAGGGATCTTCTCTCTTCCCAGGGGCTCGCATCCGAGGCGGTCCTGCTGCCTCTGGATTGCCTGCTCCAGAGCCTCTCCGGACGCAGACAGCTCTTGTTCAATTTATGCTATATTTAGACTCTTGTTTTCTAGTGAACTATCTATCTATCTATCTAGCTATCTATCTAGTTAAGTTATCTACCCATCTATCTATCTAGGTATCTATCTATCTGTCTATGTGTCTATCTGTCTATCAATCTAGTTATCTATCTAGTTATCTATCTAGTTATCTATCTATCTACCTATCTATCTATCTAGTTATCTGTCTATCTATTTATCTACCTATCTATCCATCTATCTATCTAGGTATCCATCTACAGATACTGGTATAGATACAGATACATGTATAGATATACACGCAGATGCAATACGGATGCACATGTAGACATGGAAATTCCATAAATACTGGATACTCGATGTTAAATATTAGATGTTAGATGCTTGAAGTTGATATCAGATAATGAATATTACATATCAGATGTGTGATTTGGGATCTTAGATATTCGGCACTAGATAGTAGATACTAGATATCTGATACATGGTCAAGATGTTGACATAGATAGAGGTACAGCTGCAGCTACAGCTAATGCACAAATACAGATGAAGATACAAATACAGATATAGATAAAGGGATACGTATAGACATAGACATAGAGATAGAAATCGGTAGATATATAGATCTAGACATAGATGTTTACGTGACTACCTCGTATCAGCTTACTTGGAGACTTCGTGTGTCGTCGGAGGGGTGCCTCCTCCTTCTCCGCGAGCTCCTCTGAGGCTTTCTGGAAAGCGTCTGCATTCTCCTCGACCAGGGCCTCAGCTCAAGACCCTCACCCTAAACCCTGAACCCTATAAACCCTATAAACCCTAAACCCCATGCCCTAAACCCTAAACCTTGGAGCCCAAACCTGTTCGGAGAGCTTTCTGGAGATCTCTCCTGAACTCTTTCGCGTCTCCGCCGAAACGGACTGCAAACCTTGCAGCGCAAGGCCCCTCACGGGAGGCAAAGCACGAAGACCGAGGATGCCGCGCCCTGATCGCTGCATCGATTCTGCAGTTCGACCATGCTGAACTGAATGTTGAGCATGTCCTCCTCCTGCAGAAGGCACTGAGAGAGAAGAACCATGAGATGCCTAAGCAGTCTCAGCATCGAGGCGAAGCAGAAAAAGAACCAGCAGACCAACCCTGTTATTCAATGTTGCGACGAGCCTTCTGTGCCAAGCCATCGCTGAGGTTGCGAAGCTCCCTCAGGCAGAAACACATGCCGTGCTGGGGACTTCCCACAAAGTTGAGATCTGGTGCACCTGATTAGAAAGACACTTTTCTCCGACCACGAAGAGAAGAAACACAAGACAAACAAGAGCCTCAGCAACTACCACCTCCAGCACCACCAACAATGACAACAATCAGGACGGCGACGATAAAGACGACGACGGACGCAGCAGCATCTGGCTGCCCCTGTTGCGACTGCAATGAGCTGCTGATGCTGTCAGTATTACCAGCACTAGGAACTAGTATTGGCACGACCTGTACGATTGGTACTTCTGTAGTGTTGGAGTTTTCGCATCCCGATCGATGTAGTTGGGGCATTCCCGGGCGGTACTGCTTGGAATTTGTTCTCTCCACTGGCACTAGCTGCCCCTGTTGTGCCAGTATCACAAACGCTGCCGCCACAGCAGCACCGCTGCTGCTGTATTCCTTTTCCTTACATGTAGCGCTTTCGTAGTGTTGGCAACCCCTTGTGCTTTGCGGGTACTTGTCTTGTATAAAGCAAACTACGGCAGCTCATATGCGAATCCTTTGTGCCATAAAATGAGGAAATCACTGAGCTCCAGAACCCAGCATCTGCATTAACGACACCTCTCGCCAGTTTGAATGCCCACGGTCAGCCGTGGTGTTCAGATTCTTGGCTCTGTGAACGTGGGTGGCGTGCCATTAGGAAGCCTTACTACGCTAAGCAACAGACAGAAACGGACAACAGTCATTGGTATTCGCATCTGTATCGAAAGTATCTTGGTTGGAACTACAGCTCTGCATAGCACTGGTGCACCTAGCTGCTACTGAGCAATTATTGCATGACTTGCCTGCTGGCGAACTGAAGGGCTCCAGACCATGCAAGGCTTATTGCGCGCACTAGTGCTGGTAGTGCTGATGGCTGGTGTGTGTGCACTCAGCTCAATGAACTCTTGTGCGTCGTATCCCTGTTAGCTGTTATAGCCGCCAAGCAGCTCTTGAAGCATCTGTACCTCGGGACAGTGAAACGATGACGGGACCAGCTGCAAGACTCCAGAATAAGGAAACACACTCGCTGGATTGTATCAAGTCAATGATAGCACCGGCGAAGTAGAGTGGGGATGCCACAAAACCCGAGCTTCATGTATAGTATAACTTTCCCGACCAGCCTTGGCATCTCGCTGTTCCCGCTGACCTTGAAGAAGCCGCGATGCCTGGAAGGCTTTGCACTCAGACGTGGCCTTTGTTGCTGTACCATCCTCCACTAGCATGCATCAAACATGCTTGTCCACATCACGAACAACATGATCACTGGAATCGCCACCACGCCACTAGCAGCATCATCAGGAAACGCATCAGCATCGGCATCATCCTCATCTTCTTCTGCATCTGCCAAGACTGTGACTCAGAGGAGTAGCAATGGTTCTGGTGATGGTGGCTACAGCAGTGGCGGCGGCGACGGTGGCCGTGGCGGTGGCGGTGGCGGTGGCTGTGGCGGTGGTGGCGGTGGTGGCGGTGGTGGCGGTGGTGGCGGTGGTGGCGGTGGTGGTGGTGGGGGGTGGGGGTGGGGGTGGGGGTGGCGGCGGCGGTGGTGGCGGTGGTGGCGGTGGCGGTGGTGGTGGTGGCGTTGGTGGTCGCTAATGCCCGTCTTCGTACGGAACGCGGTTCATAAGCCTGGCCTCTTGATGGAGGTCCCGCTCATTGGCAAGCTCTTGAGACAGCCTCTCAAGCTCCTTCCGCTCCGGGCGTGAGAACAACCTTTAGTCTTTCGATTTTAGGGTCCGGGCTCCGATAAATCACATATTTTGGGCCAGTTTGAATGCTATACAACGTCATGCCCCAGACCAGTGCGAAACCCGTCGCGGCCCGTCCTGCCGGTGAGATTCCCGCAAGGCTTCCAACTCCTTCGGAGATGCGAATGAGTAATCTTCCGGGATCCGTATTGTAGCAAGACTGTCATGTACCCCAAATCCCTACTCAAGGTAACAAGGCTCCTAACTCGCACAAGTAAGCCATCTCCCCTCTCCAACCACAGGCCAGAGAATGTGAACGGCAAAATCCCTCACATCATGATCTTTTGTTCAGCCGAGGGAATGTCGTCCTCCGGCCGAACGACCGGCCTTTGCTCCTGTCAGATCCCAAGACCATGTGAGGGCAGAGCCGGACCTAAATCTGAAGAGTGGAGTGTCAGTGTTGCGTCTTGGATCAGCTGCCTATCTCAACACTGCAATGACACGAACTTACGCCAGTCCAGCTAAAGCCTTCGTCATGCAATGTTGGACCGCCACCTGCCTTGAGTCGGCGGAGCTCTGCATCCAGCTGCTCACACTGTCTTGACTTCTTGTCTAACCTGGTTTCCGCGAGGATGAAGGAAGATGAAGGCTGGGCGGTGGTGTCTCATTTTCGGTTGGTTAGCCATGCGACAGCTCTGCTATCACTGTCATCTTACCCCTAGACTCCAACTGGAGGTTTGGGTTCCTAGAGCCCCATACGCCCAGGCTCTGCCCGAAAAACCGTTCACTTTCAACCTTCAACTTGGAAAGCCCCAAGCCGGAAACATGCTTGAATTCTGAAGGCCAACCGCAAACCAGACATCTTGAAGCCTGGGGCGCAGAGTGACCATTAACCCGAAACCCCTGAACTCCAAACCCCAAACCCTGACCCCCTAATCCCAAACCCTGCCCCCCTAAATCTCAGACCCTCAACCCTAGACCCTCAACCCTATAGATCCTAGCCTAAACCCAAGAACAATAAATCTCAAACACCGGTCGTTGCTTCTTCCCGCCAAGCCGCTGGTCGCGTGTGAACTTGAGCTGCTCCGTGAGCCACACATCCACCTTCTCCTGCTCTTGGATTGTTTTAACGTCTTTAGAGGTTTTTAATTTTTTTGAGCCTTTTATCCATTTTAGGGCCTTGTAGGGTTTAGGGCTTGGGGCGGTTTACGGGGTTTAGGGTTTAGGGTTCAGCAGCTCCGGATCGAGCAGTCCCTAGTCGAGCCGAGCTCGCTATTTCGATCCTAGAAGAAGTACCCGCCCACCCAGGATCCCTCAACGAAACCATACTTTCTTAGTTTATCCTCGAGCTTAAATCCCAAACCTTAAAGACTACATCCTGAACCCTGGAGCTCAAGAATTACCCCCTCATCAGCAACCTCTAGCAGCGCTTGAACCCTCTGCTACAGCCACAGAAATCCCCTTAAACCTTATGAGACAACGCCGAAATAGCCCGTAAACCTTATCATACGAACCATGGGCCCTGAACCTTAAACCCCGCACCCTAGGCCCTGAACCCTAATTCAATGAAGTGTCAGCCCAGATAGCCCAGACGATACCTTTCAGACTTTTTGGCGGCATTGAAGATGGCGATTTCTTCGATTGAGTTTGAAATGGCTTCGTTGATTGTTGCGATTTCTTCGTCGCTTTTGGCGACAAAGCGCAGAAAAGACCATGTTCAACGAATGAATTGAAGTCTAAATACATATATGATAAAGAGTGTTTAGGGTTTAGCGTTGGTGGGTATGCTTTAGCAGTCATAAAAAGTGTACTTTAGGGGTCCGCTTCAGGGACTGTATCCCTCAAAAGTCACTCTAACGGTGACATACATCCTGCATTACCTTAATGACCCTGGACTATGGGAATTATGGTAAAATACTTATCATGGGTAAGGCAGGGTTTATATCATCAACCGAAGTAGTGTCATCACTTCCTCTTCCAAGCGTGAGTCTGCATCTTCTACGGGTTCTTCCAAGTTCCTAAAAAGGGTTACTAGAAAGGTGTCCATCGGGATTCCGAAAAGTTAGCGCTTCAGAGGTCAGGCTGGTTCGTGGTGTTAAAGTTTAACAGTTTCATAGCCTAGCACTCTGTACCTGCCGAACAGTTGCAAAACGCATGGGAAATCCCATGAAGAGGCTCCGTCGGCCACCCTCAAGTTTAAACATCTCTTAACCAAAAGAGCACATCCGAGTCTCCTCCGCAGGCTTCTCGGTCCGTGTGAAGCAAGCAAGGACCGACATGGGATCAGCCCATTGCCGGCCTACGGCCTACCCTCTTCACAGAGCGACCAGCCGACGTCGTAGACTAGGTGAGATTGGACTCGGAGAAGAGTGACAGTCTCAGAAATCGCTACAGCAGGGACTTGCTGTAGATGCGCGTGTTTTGAGGAATCACTTGCAGCTATCGCAAATCAGGCGGCTAGAATTTTAGCATGGGCCGCAGAGTGCCGGCTGCTCCAAGTAAGTACTTAAAAGAATTTCTGAGCCTCGCAGTGACGCGTGTGTTCGGAAGCTAGTACCAGCAATGCGCCGCGTGCTGTTCACTTCCAAGCCTGTCCGTTTTTTCTCCAGCTCGCCGAGTGATATCTTGGAGACAGTGGTGCACCGAAACGAAATCTTACACTTCCCTAAACCCTAAACCCTTAAACTTTGAGGAAGTCTTCAAGCAGCATGAAGCTGAAGGCTGGGTTTCGGCACTCCGTCACCATGTGGCGCTGGCACAGCTGGATCCCGGCACTCTCACTTAGGAGGCGGGAACTGAAGCTCCTCGAGGCAACCGTGGTCTAGAATGCTTTAGGGCCTTGGGGTTCCCGGAGGGCCTTGGGGTTCAGGTTAGGGCTTCAAGGGCCTTTAGGGTTGAGGGTTTAGGATGGTGTATAGGGCTTACGAAGGTTGGGCACCTGCTGTCCCAATACTAAACGCTGAAGATGCCGGGCCCGGCACGTGCTTGTAGCCAAAGATCTTGGTGCCGTCGCCTGCTGCAGCCGAGTCAAGGAGAAAGCATATGGCCATGTGTGAACCCACAAAGAAGCCCTAGAAAGGATCAGGGGCGGGTGAAAGGCGAAGTCAAAGTCCACTAGGCC